TAGACCCGTCCTCTGGGTAACATCTGTCATTAAGTGAACCATAAGATGAAAGTAATTAACAAATACAAACATATGTACCAAAGATAATAAAAATTCTGAGGATGAGATAAACCTGCTGCTGCATTAATGGAATCGGTTTCTGATTTTGTGGAAAAATCCCACCCCTTCTGCCATTAGGACGCTGGCCCTGCTGAACCATTGGTAAGTAGAAATTAGGCATCGGAGCCCACCAGGCCTCATTCCCGGGACAAGCTGCTGTGGATATCCAAATCCATCAACAAATATCATAAATTTCTAAACCAGTTGTACAAAATAATATTACACGAACAAATTCAAGAAGTTAAAACATACCTCACATGACTAACAACGCAAAAAATTAAAACAGAGAATAAATAGTTACCTGTGGTGGAAAAATAGTTGGAGGCCCTTGACCATAGAATATTTGCTGTCCTAGACCTGGACCACCAGGCGAGTACATTGGCGTGGTGCAACTGAAGGTCCCATTGCAAGCGATTGCATTTGAGAAATTGAGCCTGTAAAAAGGGTAGCACATGCTTTATAAACAATTGAAACCATCCTTTCACCTCATTACAGCTCAGCCGAGGCTCAAACAAAATAATGAGAGAACACACCTGCAACCTGGCTCTCCTTTCCTCCTTCCTTTGAGCTAGTGCAACATAGAGATGTTTGCTGATAACCATTTTGCCATTCATCTCAGCAAGCTGTCATATAAATGGAAACCATTAGTCTATGGTACTCAAACCCAAGTGTGAGTGTCGAGTATGGGTATGCACAAGACAAGGATACAGTTATTTTTCAGGGTTTAGCATGCAGGATACTAGAAGAAAAATGAAAAGCCCAACCAAAACAGCTATTAAAGACTAGGGACAACATCATCGACTTACAGCTCGAGATGCTTCTTCCGGAGTTGAAAACGCAACAAACCCGGATCCTTTACTTATTCCACTAGGGTCTCGCATCACCTGTTACAATTAATTAGGCTTCAGCCAACTGATTAGCAAAATTGATCAAACCTAACTAATCTACAAAACATGCTAACCAACCTTGCATGATGTTATGATACCATATGGGGTGAATAAATCTTTAAGTTTTTCTTCGGTTATGCTATCATCCAAATTCTTAATATATAAGTTTGATACTTGAAATTTATTTACTGCCTCTTTCATCATTTGCTGAAATAGAAGCTTCAGTTCAGCCTCTCTTTCAGATTTCTTTTGAGTTTTCCCGACATACCATTCCTTATCATCGAATTTGTTCCCATTGAGGGACTCAACTGTTCTAGCAGCAGCATCAGTGTTCTCTAAGTTGACAAATCCAAAGCCCCTGGATTTTCCATCCGATCCCCTCATCACCACAGCACTAGTGATTGTACCAAAATCAGAAAAAATGTTCTTCAAATCTTCGTCCTGTATTGATTCCGAGAGATTCTTTACATAGACATCGGTAAAATTTGTCCTCATAGTAGAAGTGTATCTTTCCTGTTTGCGAAGGAAGGGACCGACATAGACTTGTTTATCATTCATAGCATACCATTCGACTCCCCAATAGCTTTTTGAGCAGACTCCTCATTGTCAAATTGCACAAAGCCATAACCTTTTGAGTGGCCAAAAGAATCCCTGGCTATCTTGCAAGAAAGGATGTTTCCAAACATAGATTCCCTTATCTAAATTCTGCCAGATTCAACAAGCACGGAAAAGTAACATTAAAAAAAACTATTGAGATTTGTTAAGCACAGATTTTAAAAACAAAGCTGAATATGGAAACCGCATGATAGACAAATCATTGTTACCTTAATAAATATATTCCCAGCACCGCTTTTACGTAGACTAGGATCACGGTTCGAATACATAATCCGGATAGGCTTTCCGTTCAGAGGAGTAAAGTTCAGATGCTCCAATGATCTTGCAGCTGTATAAGTGAACAAAACATGTGATGCAGGAGAAATAGCAAGCATTATTCTTGTACACAATTAGTGGCGAATTCGAAATATGCAATCATATTAAATCTTCACTAATTTACACATAATGTATGTATTTTCATTCTCAGAATTCACATAACAAATATGTCAAATAAAATCAAAATCCATAATTTTCAAATTCATGATTCCAAACATATCATTATACTATCCGCTAAACAACAAAGAGAACTGAAAACTCACCATCTTGAGGATTGCCATAGTTGACATAACCATAGCCAAGGGTCCTTCGGGACAACATATCTTTACAAACCCGAGAATTGGACCCATTTGAGAAAAGTACTCAAAGAGCTGAGTTTCGGTCACACTAAAATCCATTTTGCGCTTGAACTTAAACCTGCACCATCTCTCTAAAACAAACAGCCAAAACCCCAAGTGCTTTGATAAACCTTACTAAAGAAGTTTCGTGTGTGTGTTTTAAGAGAATATCGGAGTTCGCCTTCGGCTAAAGAGGTTGACACAGCGGCGCGTGGAGAAAATAAGGTGACGAGACGAGAGGTTTTTGAGAGGAACGGAGAAACCGCGAACAGACGGAAGAGTACAAAAAATACTACTAATAATGAATTCTATAAGGTTTACCTTTTACCAAGATAGATCCTCGGATGTGATCTACACCGTTGGATTTGGTTTTGGAAGCGTACTTTGAAAAACATAATATGGATTTATTTAAAATTTTGAAAAACAATCAACCAAAATTTAAAAATTATTTAAGAATAAACTCAGCTTAATTCAATTTAAAATACTTATTAAAAATATGAGCTTCGTGATATTAAAATTACCTTTTTAAAAAGATCGGGTAAAGTACACAAATAGTCCCTCGACTAATAGGCGTTATTTTGTTGAGTCTATTGACTATTAAGAATTATAAAATAATCTCTTGATTATAGAATGTTACATTGTTAAGTCCTCTGACTATTAAAACTTACAAAATGATCATCCGACTATTTATATGTTCTAAACTTTTCTTTTTCGTTAAAAAAATTTGTGGTTGTCTGAGTTGGACGTGAACCTACTGATTGAGATGTGATAAAATCTAATCTTAGAACAATTTGAACCATGTTTTGTGAATCGAGTCTTCATTTGCATTATGTTGTCGAGTCGGTACTTGAAAGCAATGACAGTTCTAGTAGACGTCATCAAGATATGATTTTATCATATCTTAATAAGTAGGTTAACGTCCAGTTCAGATGACTGTCATTTCTAACTAAAAATTGCGAGTTTGAAATATGAATAGTTGAGTGACAATTTTTTAACTTTTAATAGTTAAGTGACTCAATAAAATAATGTCTTATAGTTGAAGGATTATTTTATAACTTTTAATAATCGCTTAATGCAACAAAATAATATCCTATAATTAAGGGATCTTATGTGTACTTACCTTAAAAATTACACTTTGTTTAAGCTTTTTACGGGTAATTTTACTGGCACGAATATATTTTAAAACATTATCTATTATTAAGTAATTAAGATCAAAATAAAACTGAATTTGAATTTTCTTTAAAATATTAAACAAAAATAGATTAAAGTTATCTTTAAAATAATATTAATAACAGAGAATAAGAATTTTCTTTAATCTTAAACTTTTACTCGAAATTACTAAAAAAGTGGGTCATAATTATAACAAACAAACATATAATTTAATTGATTTTTAATATATATATATATATATTAAATTATATAAATATTTTAATGGTATGAAAAGTTTGATTAAATTTGAAAATGATATATAATTGTTTAATTTAAATATGAATGCTATTATAGTTGTATCAATATATATTTTTTAGATAGTTTAACGATAAAATTCAACATTTTCCGTGACAAAAATATATAATTTAATTGAGTTTTAATATATTAAATTGAAAATACTTTACATTATTAAGACAACTTTGATTAAATTGTACAACTAAGATGTCTCTTTGATAAAAAAAATTGTTGTTATTATTGAGGATCCGGGTTTAAGCACTATAAATGTCAGAGATGTAACCTTTAATGCTGAAAGATTGAGAGTTATCTTCGAACATATATCGACTCGTACTTACCTCATATTATTCAATAAAAAAACATTGATTAAATTTCAACATGATAATAGTTGGATTTTACGTTTTAATTCATATATTTTATATTAGTTTTGATTAAATTATTAATAATATTAAATTTTGATTTTGATAAAAAAGAACTACTTGAAATAATTAAATGAAGAAGATATAAACTCTTACATATCTTTGAGGAAGGAAAGAAAGGGGTTAATTATGTGATTGATCAATGTTGTGCTTTTATTATTTTTTCTTACCGATTTTAAAAAATATAATATATGACCACTTTCTCTTTTATTTAATTAAGATGTGATCATCGTAAGTTAAATGTTGTCAACAACAGTTAAATATTTTGATATAATAAAATATTTGGTCATTGTTATTTATGTATTCTCTCAATTTAGTTATGATTTTAATAAATTAAAATAAATTCAATCCTCCAATCGAGAGATGTCACTAGCACCACATGTTGTGCCACGTGTCATCGTTCGATCGAATAATTAACTTTATTCTAATTTATTTTAATATATTTTATGTTAAAATATTTTTTTATAAGAATGCAATATGTTAAAATAAATTAAAATAAAATCAATCCTACAACCGAATGGTGGCACAGTGTCACAAGTGACATGTGACATCATTCGATTCAAGGATTAAATTAATTTTAATTTATTAAAAATATTATTAAATTGAGATAATATATAAATAACAATGATCAAATGTATGATTATACCAAAATATTTATCATCTGTTGATGAAGGATAACTCACATTGATTCATATCTTAACTAAATAAAAACGAAATTGATAATATATTTTATCTTTTGAAAAATGTGAAAAAAATGAATAAAACATACACATAAATGATTCAATCGTATAATTTACCTAGAAAAAAAGAAACAGAATCAAAAGTTTGAGTGAATTGCACTCAGATTATTCATATATTCATTAGGATATTCAAGCACGACTTTCTTATATGTCACCCTTAGTAGATGACTGAAACGACGTCGTGTTTTCAACAATATTTGATGGTTCACCAAGAGCTTGCTGTGAAGAGGAAGGATTCAGATTCTCAGAACTTGTATTATGATGATCGTCTCCGTCGAACACTGTGTCCGGCGGAGGATCCCAAGGGTACTCATTTTCAAACCAATTATCATCAAACGCTTCAAAAGTATAATCATCCGAATCCTGATTCGGAGCTAAAATATCCGAATGCGTCCCGCCGTTTGTGTTGCCGTTTTCCGCCATTGACGATGCTTTAGGTAACTGACAAAAGCAACCATTTGAATCTGGATTTTGAGATGATGCTTCTCCGTTAATACCTTGTGGATAAGAAGAAGCATCCGATGACCCTACATCCATCGGAGATGCAGTCGCCGTGTTGTTCTTTCCTGCCCATTTTCTGTTCATATATATCTTGCACAGTACCCAATCATCGAGCTGCAATATAAAGTTAATTTTGCAATACCACAAATGAATATAAAAAAAGGTCACGAACTCATAATATTCTTACCATCATACAACTCTGGGGCTTGTTTTTGGGTTTAATGTAGTCATCTTTAACCACATATTCATGCATCTTCCATTCAGTTCTCTGGCCAGATGAGTGTAGGCCTGAATAAAAATCAAGGGTTGTTCTTTCACCGACGGTTTCCACCTGACCTCGAAGAACCGGCTTAGCCTTTCCGGTCAGCTTCCAGAACCCAGTTCCGTTCCCTGTCACCCGGTCCGGCCTCCCTCCCTTCGGGTATTTTCTATTCCTCCGTGTAAAAAAATACCATTCGTCGTCTTCTCTTCCCCCATTTGTTTTGAACTTATCTATCCAACATCACAATTCATAACAATAAACATAAAACAATATGAATATTGTAAAACCATTGTTTAGTTAACTTACTGGTGAGAACAAAAGGAGGCTCATCGTAGAGATTAACCTCGTAAATCTGATTAGAAGATAAGGGTTCATCGTTAAGCTTCTTCATCAAGTAATGGCAAACCAACTCTTCGTCGGTAGGGACGAATCGAAATCCGATAGAAGGTGAAGAAAAATGCGCTTCGACGACGTCAAAGGTCTGCATGATGCTCCGATTATCGGCCTTCTCTGCAATAGCTTGAGAGAGAAATACAAAAGACTAGATTAATTTGGTTATCTGAAAATTACTTGATCTTTTATGTTTATATAAACCCTATTGTATCCTACTCATAATTGGCATAAAATATTTTATATTGTATATTTTCTACCTTTTTAGTTTAATTAGATAACTAAACAAGAAATCAGGTGTTTGATTGTAAGTATAGGAGCATAAAATTAATTAAATATAATATTATAAATAAATTTATGTAATTATATATATTTACTTTTAGTATAATTAGATAACTAAATAAGGAGTTTGATTGTAAGTATAATATTATGAATAATATTATTATAAACAAATTTCTTAGTCGAAATCAATTTATTTATTAAAAATTCAAATACATTAGTACAAAGATAAGCGCCAAGTAAAATACATATGATCAAATCGCCGATAAGTTTTACAGCCAATGAGGCTTAAGAGCATTGTAAGTCCTTGCGGATGGTGAAGAAGAAACAGTGGGTTCTTCATCAGATTCCCCAGCCGATTTCCAGTCAGAATTCCCGTGTTTTCCCTTCATGCAAGGAACCAATTTGTACGATTCTTTTCTCTCGCATGTCCATTTTCTTGAGAAAAACGCAGCGCAATCGGCTTTCGATCTTTGCTCCGGCAAGTCCAGAATGCAGTTCTTTCTAACGTCGAGTTTCTTCTTCATTATCAGATCCCGGCAGGCTGGCCCGACTTGGGTGAAATAATTGCTCGAAAGAGACAGATTCTCGAGCTTCGTGAGCTGGCAAACGATTTCAGGGACTTCGCCGTAGAATTCATTGTTGGCTAAGTTGAGTAACTCCATCTTTCTCAAGCACCCGAACGAGTACGGGATCGGTCCGGTGAGTTTGTTCGTCCCGACGTCGAACACGGTGGCTTGACTCAGGTTACCGATCTCGTACGGCAAGCAGCCGGAGAATTGGTTGTTGAGAAACAGCACCTCCAAGAGATTTGGAGCTCGGCCGATGCTCTTTGGGATCTGACCGGTGAAGAAGTTGTTAGCGAACGTTAGGTATACACGGGCGAGTTTCCGATGTTATCCGGAAGCGGTTGTTGGAATTTGTTGTTGTTGATGAAGAGGACATCGAGGTCTAAGTTGAACACCGATGACGGTACCGGACCTTTGAAGGTGTTGAACCTTAAGTCGAGGAACGTTAAGTTTTTGGCGGCAAGTACTTCCATGGGGAAATCACTTTCTAGCTTGTTGTTGCTAAGGTCGAGTTCGTATAAGAAGTTGATTTTAGAGACTCCGATGGCCGGGACTTTGCCGGTGAAGCTGTTGGAATTGGCGTGGTAGATGGCTAAATCTTCGAGCCTGTCGATGAAATCGTTGAGCGGGAGGGATCCGTTGAGGCCGACGAATTTGGCGCCGTTGAAGTCGACAGCAGCCACCGCGTTTTCTTAACGTCGGGACGGACTTCACAATTGAATCCTTTGTAGTGCTTGCAAACGTTTGGGCCGTTCCATGTGTCCGTGAACTTCTTGCTGTTCGGGTCCATAAAGATTTTCTTCTTGAAATCTTGGATTACTTGGTAAGCTTTGGCAATCCGTTCGTTCTCGAAGCACATGTTGTTATACCGATAACCACATTTAGACGGCGGTTGTGGAGTTGGTTTCGGTTTCGGCTTTGGCTTCGGTTTCGGCTTCGGCTTCGGTGTTGGAGGAGGAAGAATAGGATGCGGTGGCGATGGTGGGGGTGGACACGGAGGAGGAGGTGGCGGAGGACAATACTCAGTGTCAGGAGACGGGGCCGGTGCAACGCCCCCGCCGCCTCCTCCTATAATTATCTCTAACGTTTCCCTGTTGGTCCCAATCGAAGGATGATCACTAGCCACCTCATGGGACAGACATGGATCGAAAATGGTAATCAGTAATAAAATTGAAATCTTGAAAGAAAGATTATTACACGTTTTTCGCCTCATGTGTTCTTTCTCAGACAAGATTTTCTTGAGAAAGTGCCTGAAGGTCTACAGCAGATATATAGGAAAGAAGCGAGGGAAAGTCATAATGGAGGGAAGTGAAGCTTTCAGTACATGGTACGAGGTCCTGCCCCATTTCTTGCCTGAAAATGACATTTTTGTAGACTACTGATTGCCTTGTTGTTCGATTCCTTGCATAATTGCACTTTATAGCTTCAGCCTCATTCATAAACCACAAAAAAGTCAATGTCATGTTCGAATTTTAACAATCGCGAATGTAATAAAGTAAGTTGGAAAAATTGTCCTTACATCTATGATACTTAATTTAAATTATCGATCAATAAATCGAATGTCAACATCATTCCAAAATAAAAATGTCGTTTGCATGCAATGGTGGCCAGTTACACAAAGTTTCACATGCAGAACAGGTCGTTGAAATCCAGTCAATACTTTTGGAATTTTCAAACCCTACACGTTTAAGCTTTGTCTCCTTTAACGATGGTTGATCGGCCGTCAGGAGCTGGCCCTATGGCCATGTGCATATTTCCTCAATCTCTACTATCCTATTGAATATTTAAAAATAAAAAATACATTTAAATCATAATTTGTTTTTATAAATTGCACCCATATTTGTATAATATAGACATAATTTTAATATTCTAACATATATAGATATTTGTTATTGTTTTGCAAAGTTGTAAAAGTGAAAAATAGACAGCACCAAACTCCAAGCTTTTCATTGTTCCCGGCCCAGCAAGGAATTGACGTACTGACTTCTCTTTCACATGTAGGCCGTAAATGAGGGGAGAGAGAGGGCCAGTTATTTCAAATTTATTCGATTAAAGTTAGATAAATATTATATTCAAGTTATTAATAAGTTTAAACGAGTTATTTAATATTTGATTAAAAAAATTTGCGAGTAACTCGAAAATATACTATATTAAGTTTTTTTACTTTTTAAAAATAAACTATCTTTTTAAAAAAAATGTAATATGAGGTTTGCATGTATTTAAGATTTAGATTCGAGTTTGAGCTTCAATCTAGTTAAGTTTAACATTTTTTTTCGAGATTTTACGTGTAGGGGTGGCAATCAGGTGGGGAAAATCGAAAATCGTGGGAATCCGAACCGATAGGGATGGGGAATAACCGAAATCTTCACCCACGGGGATAAGGATAGAGAAATTTTATCCACAAATCTCAAATGAGGATGGGAACGGGGATTGCTATATTTGAACCGTGGGGATAAATGAACTGTACACGTGTGAATAATTGTGTAGATCCCTGGAAAATAATCATAGGATTCCCTGATATTTTACAAAAATAATCGTAGGGATCATCGAAAAATATCTGTGAGATTACGTGTTGCCACTGTTACATCTCAAAGGAACTAAAATTGAAGTTTAGATTTTTTTTCTCATTTAATATATATTGATTTATTGAGATTGAAATTGGTTAAAACTGTACATATACATTAAGTGTTAAATGAATATTAACGTTTGAAATTTTCATATTATATATGAAGATAAATTTGAGACAATCTAATATATCTTACAAGTTTTAGATATTGCATTGATTTAAAAAATGTTTGTTTATTTTTTAGGATTAAGATTAACTGAAACCCTTGGGGATCCGTAAGGGATGGATATAGGGACAAAAAAAATCCCTGAAACATATAATGGAGATTCTCCAAAACCGTACCGCAAGTGTTGGGGACGGAATGGGTAATGCAAAACCATCCTCGCCCCTCCCCATTGCCACCCCTATTTACAAGCTCCAATTCATGGTTTTAAGTTCGAGTCGAGCTTAAAAATTTTAAGTTCGTAAATTTTTGAGCCGAGACGAACTTCATTTTAGAGTTTTCAAGTAGATTCGAAGTCAGCAATACTCGAACAACCTTACTGACATGAACTCAAATTTATGATATCTAATTATTTAACTTTTATTTTATTTTTAATATAAACATATAATAATACTCCATATAACACTATTAGAATCCATTCAAACAAGAGTATCAAACAAGAATATTGTATCAACATATTTGAATATTTACATTTAAGTCTCGTCTTAATTAAATAATCTGTGATTAATACTATCTAGATTTTATTTTGTATAAATTCTTTCGTGTCTATGAATTTGTATTATATTTTATAATAATTTAGTTATTTTAAATATATAATTAATTTTTTTTTATAAAAGTCAGTAATAAAAATATAAAAGTATCATTAGTCAAAATATTTTATAATAATTTAATTATTTAAAAAATCATCGCCCTTAAAAGACATATTCTTTGACCCAAGTCATCACAGGGATCCGAAACATCTGCCAAGACATTTCTTGCAAGCATACCCTATTTCAACACAATATATTTAAAAAAAATTAGTCAAAATATTTTAGGGTAAATTACATATTTAGTACTTAAACTACCAATTTTAATATATTTTGATATCTAGAGTTTTAAAATTTTCAAAAACATATTTATGTTTAGTTTTTGTTTCATTTTAGTATATCATCATTAAAAACTTTAGTTTTTGTTTCATTTTAGTACTCTCATTCAAATTTTAACGTTAAGTTTTGAAAAGAATGAAAATTTAGGTATTAAAATGGATCAAAATTGATAGTTTATGTATTAAACGTGTTAAGTTTTTAATGGAGGGTACTAAAATGAAATGAAAACTAAACGTTAGATATGATTTTGAGAAAAATAAAAGTTTAGGTATTAAAACAGACTAAAATTAACAGTTTAGGTATTAAATGTATAGTTTACCTATATCTTTAATATGATTTTTTTAAAATTAAATTAGAGTTCGACTTGGTTCTTATCCCGATTGTTAACGTGGAAGATAGGGGTTTAACGGTTCTCGTAGTTGGAGCCTTCTCAGAAACAAGCCTTCTCTCTGATCGTTTCAAGCTCTATCTTGACCAAGTTTGTTCATTGTCAACCAAACAACTTGCATACAAATTTAATTCAATTTCTTAGTCATTTACCCAGTCGCCATTGCCAACCAGAAAACTTAGAGCTCCTAATTGCAAAACCAAAACTTTCTTTTTCTTTCTATCCAAACAAATCAGAAAAGCCATATCGCTTCTTCTCAGTTATGGCAACCAAACCTTCAACGCGTTATGTACATTAAAAGATGTTTAGTAAACCAGAAGGAAACAGCAGAAAACCCCAAATTCCATTTGTTGTCACGGAGAACAAGCTCTAAACAAACATCCCACCATTAAAGCTGCTAATAGAAAAGCTTTATTCTACGCGGAGTATCTAATTTTCGTCCCCGAGGTTCACTCGTTTTCTCCTTTTGAATTATATATATAAAGGGTCACCCCTTTTTGTAATTCGATCAAAGCACAAATTCTCATCTGGAAAACACCAATCTTCTCCACTTTGCTTCTTCTTCTTTGTCCTGTATTGTTAGTTTATTGTTACTAGTATCAATCCATGTCGGTTTCGGGTATCCATGGCCATATACTTGAGGTTACCGGTATGAAAAGTTTCTTAAATTAAAATTTATTTTACTTTTTGTTGGGTGATTTACGATTTTTATACTTATTTAATTGTCGGGTTCATTTGTTTTTATCGGTCGAAGTTGTTGGATGCAACAAATTGAAAGATACTGAATGGATTTCAAGGCAAGATCCTTATGTTTGTCTTGAATATGGCAGCACCAAGTACCGTACAAGAACTTGCACTGGTAATCACTAACTTTCTCTTTCAACATAAAGGGTTTTTGACCTGATCTAAGTCAAAATTTTAACATCTGGGTTTTGAATTATGATTTGGGTTGTTTTAGATGGTGGCAAAACGCCTGTATTCCAAGAGAGATTCACTTTCAATTTGATTGAAGGGCTTAGAGAGATCATTGTTGTTGTTTGGAACAGCAATACTTTGAGTTTTGATGATTTTATTGGCAGTGGAAAGTAAGCAACTAAGGAACTTGCATTCGGATTCGAATTGCTTACTCTTTCGCATTTCGAGAAGATATGTTCTTACTGGTTTTTTATTCTGATGTTTGTTTGTCGTTGGGGGATTCTTGGTTTACAGGGTTCAATTGAATAAGGTTCTCTCTCAGGGTTTTGATGATGCTCCTTGGCCCCTCCAGACTAAAACCGGCAGGTAAACGCTCGAAATCGATGGCTTTTAGCATGTAGTAGAATAAGATATGTTTCGATGAATAATCTAATAACACTCGAGATTGATGCTTCCTCTATCTCGTAAATTCGATCATTTAGCAATCACTCTTCATACTTTAACAACATGGAGCATGAAACCCTCTTTGGATTTCTCTATGTATCTCTGGAATGGTGGGATATATTATCATGTGTAGTAGAATAAGATATGTTTCAACGAATAAGCTAAAGACGCTCTAGATCGATACTTCCTTAATCTCATAAATCGGGTCATATAGCAATCACTTTTAAATGGTTATCTACTTCATGTTAATGTTAATGCCGTAATACAGTTTTTGACATCAGATAGTATTTTCCCTCGTTCGGTTTCAATCGTTTTCATCTGTGGCAGTTTTGTTTCTCGAAGCCTTATTTGTTACATCAATTAGAAATTCAATTTCAAGCTTGCTTATTGACTTCTCGAAACCTAATAAATTGAATATAGTTTAACTTATGATTTGCCAAGATCATATCATGTTCCCTGCTTCCCCGCCGTGAAAACCATTCCCGATTTTCCTGGTTGCAATCTTTCAGCATCTGTTGTCTCTTAATCCTTTCAAATTTGCAGATATGCTGGAGAAGTGCGGCTCATAATGCATTACGCTAATGCCAAGGTAAGTTCGATATATTGTACATCAATTCACCATCTCTGTCAATATTATTTGAACAAGTGGGAACTAAATGGTTATTCCGATTGTTGCAGCACCATGCCTCATCATATGCTCCAACAGCACCACCATATGCAGCTCCTCCCCCTCCGCAAGTCCCTCAATATTCTGTACCTCCGCCAACTTATCCAGCTTCTTATCCTCCACCAACTACAACATATCCAACTCCATCACCCTATCCATCATATCCTTCATCCGCATACCCTCCTCCACCTTCTGCATACCCTCCACCACTGGCGCCTTCATCATATCCTCTGTCCATGTATCCACCACCCTCACCCTATTATCCACCAGGTAATTTCGTACATTTTATATCATTTGACGTTATTAACTACATGTCGGATGTAGTACTGAAGTTCCGTTCTGTTCTGTTCTGTTCTGTTCTGCTTTTCAAACAGGTTCTTTTCCGGGTCTTTATCCTCGACCACCATACTAAATCCGCCAGGAAGGAGACATTACAACCTGAAGTTCTTTATGTTCGAATCTCTTCAGAAAGGGTTGGGATTATGTCCAAATATCTTGGTGGGGGGAAACTTGGGACACTGCGATACCGTTGTATATAAGTGCTTATAAATTTCAGTTGTGGAAGATTTTTTGGTGTCTTTTGTTCATATCTTATGTATTGTCGGACATGATGTTTTACAACACCAATCTAAGTGAATCGAAGCGATAATTAGAGCGGTTTAAGATTCAAGTAATTCATCCAAGTTGGAAGGATCGCCTATTGGATCATTGTCTGAAAAAACACGAGATATAAGACCAAGTTTGATCTAACAAACACAACGGGAACATCATTGGATGAGAATGCATCTGATGGGTGATCCTTCGGAACCAAGCAACCTCAAAGGTAAGCAATGGACGTTATATAACCCAACTGGAACATCATCAAGTTTCAAACCCTCCACTAGAATCACTTCCTGCATCACATTGAATGATATATCTATATGATTTTCGGATTCAAGTATGTAAATGGTAACCCAATCTCAAGGTTTAGCATAATAGAGAGACCAAAACCATAATAAAAATTGTAAAATTACATCATTTTGAAGAACGATTTAGCTTACCCTCCCTTCAAAGAATTCAAGATGAGCTGGAACCGAATAATCATAGCATGCAGCAGATAAGAAACCGATGCCTGCATTTCCAACATACACAAATTCATCACTATCATTACCTTTTCCCCAAGGAAACGAAAGTAGCAACACCAATGCACTCGTTCGAAATCGAGTAATGCAGACTTCGTAGCTTAGTTTGTTTGGTTCGAGCTAACGACATGAACTTAACAACACACCTCAAAACTCTTTTACCTTAAATCCTACATCTTCATTTCTTACATAAATACAAAGATATATGCATCAGACACTAAAATTCGAGTATAACGTAGATCTTACCTACGAGTTTGATGTCGGTGTTCTTTACCAACCATCTCGCTCCGTACATCCAACGTAACTCGAGTCAAATACCCTTTTAAACATGAGCCGTCTGAAAGTGAAATTTGAGGATGTTACACTCAAATCAAGTTTATGTTACTCAAAACTTTTCATTTATCTTAAATTACTCCAGTCTTCCTATGTCCAACAAAAACCAATACATAATGAAATATGTTCCCATAGAAATAAATTGTCCATGCATAGTCTATTGTCCTTACCATTCGAAACATGGTAACATAGCATGTAACTTCCAAAATCACTCATGTTCTCATCTACGCCCAACGTATGCAAATATAGGTATCAATGTACTCGTATTCGATACATACTCGTACTGATACTCACCATCAAATCCAGGTACAAAATAGCATCTAACAAAGTGTTTAAGCGTTGAAGTAAACTCGATACCTGTTGGTATTCAATCTCCGGAAAAGAACAAGACGCACTCCTTCAGGAATGTTCAAAAACTCCATCACTTGGGCTGCAAAAAGTTGAAGAACAAACATGAGTTACTATCAGATCATACACAAAGTCGAGCAATTGAACTTCATATGTAAGAAAATGGTGTCGGAGATCGGTACCGGTGATGTTACTATCCCTCGGCACATCCACTAACAGAGCTGGCCCTGCGGCAATCAAACATAATTCGATCTAGATTAGTCGATCGATGGATCAAATATAGATAGTTACACCAAAAAAATTAGAATACTAAGTTACTAACTATTCAGTTTTCATAAATTAGAATGATGAAATTAATAATTAAATTGGACTAAAAATAAAGAAGACTACAAATGATTAAATTATAGCAGGACTCCGTCACTAAAAACGTATATTATTGGGATCTTCCGTGCAATTTGACCCTAAAAGAAGCTCAATCAAAGGCGGAGGATGTTTACTTTACCGTTAAGGACTTCAAGATCAAGGGTGTCGACATCGAAGAAGGCTTGGAAGTAGCGGTCAATCATATGACACGGCGCGTCAACGTGGGTGCCGGTATGAACCGACACAAGTTTCATCAAAGAATTATTGGACTGGGAGCCATTCTTCATGCTGAGCGGAAGCCAAAGGAACTGACCCAGACCGTCTTTGCTGCCCCACGACGGCATATCCACAGTGTATCTATGGCTAACATTGAAGATTCTCCCGTCATCGTAAACTTCCCTTCAGACGGGAACCGGGTTTTCATCAGCCGTGAAAACTAGGGGTGAGTGTTCGATCGAGTTGACAAATCATATTTTACAACTCCGACTTGATTTGAAATTTTTTCGAGTCGAGTCTATAAAATTCGAGTCGAATCAATTTTTCAAATATCTGTTTAAATATAATTGTAAATATTTATAATATTATAATATTATTTAATTCTAATTTAAGTCACTTTCTATAACTATATATATAATACAAATATATTTCTCATATTTTTTCACATGTAATATATATATATATATATTATACAAAGTTCAAAGATTCGAGTCAAACTTGAAAATAAATCCGTTAGTTACTAAAAATTTCAAGTTATTCGAATTATTTGAGTTACGTTTTATAACTCGATTTGAATTTGAAATTTTTTCGAGTCTAGTCGAATTTGTGAAATTGTAATTTGAACTCCATTTGAGTCGAATCGAGTTAAAAAAATTTGAATTTTTAAATGGAATCGAGTTTTGCTCATCTCTAGTGGAAACAGTGCAGTCCGTTGTCGCAGAAGGGTATGCGGGACAGGAATCTGCGGCGGCGGCGGCGGCGGCAACAATGGCTGCAGATAAGAGGAGAAGACATGGTGTTTTGATCACTTTGGACAAGTAGATAAAATAATTATTGCAGTAGCTCAAGTCTTAATTAGACATGGTATATATAGTGACAGATTCTACTGCTGTCGGGAAATGTGTTGTTTCGAGCATTTGTTTTTAGACAAATTTGAGTTTAAGGTTTTGTTGGTTTAATTTAACTTTTAATCCCTCCATCTTTAGTAACTTAGTCATTTCATTTCAATTTTACATAAGTGATAACATGGTTGATTTTGCATAAGAAATAAGCTCATCTTTGATGTTAGTTTCATTGAGAAGAAAGATGTTTTAAGAGCAAGTAATTACGAGAGTGATACTTTAATTTTTTTTAATAGAAAGTGGTTAATTTTATTAAAAAAATAGAATATATTTAAAATTATAATCAAAATTTACGAGCATAACATTAAATGTAAACTAATTTATAATTAGGATATTTTTTTATAATCATTAACACAAAAATTAGTCACTTAGATCACATAAGGACCAAAGAAGGAAAAGGTTAAAAAAACATAACCAAAATGCTCGAACACATAAATATACGAACAAATCTGAATGCATCAGCAAACGAACCACAAATGGAATAAAACTATTGAAATACCACCGACAAATTACAAATAAGAGTCAAGCGACGTGAGAAAACTATCTACGAACGCAAAACACGTATCCAAATCAATCTAAGGGTCCAAAGCAGAGAATATCGACATGATAACAAACAAATGACATCTTATCAGTCGTGGAAATGTCAAATCCAACACTGAAAAAAAGAATAAACGAAGATAACGGTCAAATGACCAAAAACTACTAAAATGCAGAGAAAAACGTACCACAAAGACAAAGATAAATGTGTCACAAAAATATAATTTTTATTATTAAAAAAACAAAGAGAAAAGACAATCAACGATCGACAATCAGCTTCAAAATTGATCTTACCGCTAATTAAACAAAATAAAAAAAATGATTTTATCTATAAAAAATAACATAAATTGTAAAGAAAAAAAGGGACAGAGGGAGAGGGAGAGGAGAGGAGAGGGAGAGGGCCGCTAGAGTTACTAACGAGTGATAGTTTTGATTTTTCATTTCCGACAATAAAATTCAAATATTAAACTTTATTTAAAAGAGCAAGTATCTTGTTCTATTAGAGTTATAAATAAATGGTGGGATCTAGGTCTGGTCAATGACAAATGTAGAATGTGATCTGTCATAGAATTTTAAAATTTAAAGACTCCACACACAAATGTTATTTATGTCCATCTATATATAGTATTTGTTCTCTAATACTATTTAAGTTGGAAGGAAAAATAAACTTTTCAATTGATTTTCGAGAAAATAATAAAACAAGATTTTTAATTATTTTTCATGATAAATTCTGATAAAGCAAATCCCGTAAACTTCTTATAATTTAAAATTTAACAAATTAATAATATAGTAAAAGACCTCCACATCATTTAACACAGATCTGATGGGATGGATGATTTTCACGGTTTGACTAAGAACAGTGTCTGAGTTCCATTACATGTAAGATCATTTGATGGGAGATCCTTCAGCACCAAGCAATCTTAAAGGTAAGCAATGGACGTTGTACAATCCAACCGGTACATTAAGCATTTTCTTACCCTGCTTTCAAAGAATTCCAGCCAGATGATCATGGCATGCAACAGACAAGAAATCCGGTCCTACTCCCAAACAACAGGAAAAAAATATTATTTTTGAATTATTTGACTCATACCTGACAATAACGGACGTATGATTTTACGTTAAGAAGTGCAAACTTAAATTTATAAGATTTTAATAAAAATACATAAATAAAAACCTAAAATATAAGATAAATTTATATTTTTAGTACATCATTCCTCACATATATGCAAATATTTGTACAGAAAACTTTATATTTATATTGAATATTTACATTCGAATCTAAATAACATAAAACTCACCTACAAGTTTGACGTCAGTGTTCTTTACCAGCCATCTTGCCCCGTCCGTTGTAAACCCAACATAGCTTGTGTCATACTCCCTTTATACATAAGCCGCCTGAAATCGGTAGAGGAAAAACTATAAGGGTAAATTACATCATAAGTCATTCAATTATGTAACAGTCATTAATTTTTTGGCTGTAAATAAGTGACTTGGGTATAACAATCAATAAATTGAGTAACTTGATTGCTCCAATTGATAAATAGAGTGACATGATTGTAACTAAAAAGTTAATATATATATATATATATATGACATAATGACTTGTTTGTAACAATCGATTAATCAAGTGATTCATTTGAAATATTTTAAAATCCAGTAAGATATTTATAATCTTATTAAGTGACTTACATTCTAGGGCAAAATAAACAAATGGTTTCTCAACTATAAGATATTATTTTATTGAGTTCATC